TTGCTGGCATCAAGAACCCATCGCCTGCATCAAGAACCCCTCGCCTGCATCAAAAAACCCTCGCTGGTATCAAGAACCCCTAGCTTGCATCAAGAACCCCTCGCCTGCATCAAAACCCCCTCGCTGATATCAAGAACCCCTCGCTGGTATCAAGAACCCCTCGCCTGCACCAAGAACCCGTCGCTGGTATCAAGAACCCCTCGCTTGCATCAAAAACCCCTCTCCTGCATCAAGAACCCCTCTCCTGCATCAAGAACCCCTCGCTGGTTTCAAGAATCCCCTGCCGACATTAAGAATCCCTCGTAGGTGTCAAAAACCTCTCGCAGGTTTCTAGAACTCTCCGGCATCAATTAACTCTCGCCGGCATCAAAAACCCCTCGCCGGCATCAAAAACCCCTAGCTGACATCAAGAACCTTGCTACCGAAGTGGCTAGTTTATTGCGCATCCCACATCCATCCTGTGGACGGTAGCGCAAGAGTATATAGATACACAAAAGGCCCAGGAACTGGGCCCCAAAATGGGGTAACAGATGTACATCTGGATTTATATCTACAGTTCACTTACCTGTTACAAGCAAATTTAAGAAGTTTGCTTAATATATCTGGTATCTTATTTTCATTAATAATATATCTTGACATGTCACATAGGTTATTATACTGTCTATCTCTGTATTCCTCAATAAGTGGACGATTAAGCACATAGTGTTCAAGATACTTTGCATTTAGTTTGATCATCATCTGTGTGTCTCCCAAACTGCCAGAAGTACTTGTAACCAAGCCTAAGCCTGGCCACTACAACATCAGTCAGTCTGTTCACATTGCAAGTTGCTCCATAAACATACTTATCTACGTTCATGTTATCATAGTGGGTTATAGATCTACTCAGGCTTCTAATTGTCAACATAATGGTGCATCGGTGTACCATTATGTTGGTTGTGAGACAATCCCACACCAGTATTCCTGCACCACGATTACTAATTTTAATACATGTTACGCAGGTGATGCCACCTAGGTTGCAGGGTGACAGGTGTGGGGATGTTACTTGGTTCTCCCAGGTTAAAGACAACGAGGGTGATTCTTCACAAACTGAAAAATAATTTTCATGCTTATATTGACGTAAATAAAGGAGATTCTCGCTATTTTAAATTGCTTTTTCTTGTTTTGTGTTTCCCGTGTGATGACTGACACGGTGTGGGGTGCTCCGTGTGTGATGACTGACACGGTGTGGGGTGCACCGTGTGTGATGACTGACACGGTGTGGGGTGGCAGTGGTGGCCTCATATTTACGTCGAAGGCAAATCTCCACCCTACAGAATTGAAGGATCAATGGTAGACATTGTAAAACTCCTGACCTCCAAACTTGGCTTCTGGTGAGTCATGTGTTGTGTGTGTGTGTGTGTGTGTGTGTGTGTGTGTGTGTGTGTGTGTGTGTGTGTGTGTGTGTGTGTGTGTGTGTGTGTGTATGTGTGTTTGTGTGTGTATGTATCCATCTTCATGTCGTTCTAGGGGTGACGTCTTACCTTCTGGTCACTCCTTCCTATCCTCGTGGGCTCTGTCATACCTGCTCTTCAAGCTGTGTTTGGAGCATCCCTCCACTATTTTTACCTCGAGGTCATTTCACTTTCTGACCACACTGAGACTGAAAAAAAACTTTTTAACATCCCTGTGGTTCATCTGATTCTTTAACTTGTAGCTGTGTCCCAGAGTACCAATCACTCTCTATCTTATGAATCTCCTTGAATATTTTGTATATTTTTTGGTATGTATATGTGTGTATTTTCATGTAATTTCTCTTAGTATCAGTTAATATCCTACACACGACATTTTGATGGTACGAGCCCAGAGCACAGGCATTACAGACGTCAATAAGAGTCTTCACTAAACTGCAGTAAGTAGCTTGTGATAATTTTGGACACTACAAAGCACAATCAGTACGTATTCCATTTATTTATTTAGTTATGAGAAACATTAAACTGGTGTGAGTCATTCAGTGCAAGGAGCAGTGAAGAAATACGTTTCCTCCCTGTAAACACCTAGTTATTACCTAACTATTTACACAATAGTTTATCCAGTTGATGCAGAATGTGGACACACGGGAATCAGGAAGACATCAACATCAACATCACTAATAAGTTGAAATATAACTTTTTTGTAATTTTTTTACGCTAATTTATATTCTAAGGCTATAAATGAACCTCAGCCAAGAACAAGCAATTGCCAAGGCAAGTACCACGACAGACAATTACCAAGGCAAGTACCACAACAGACAATTACCAAGGCAAGTACCACAACAGACAATTACCAAGGCAAGTACCTCAACAGACAATTACCAAGGCAAGTACCACGACAGGCAATTACCAAGGCAAGCACCAGAACAGACAATTACCAAGGCAAGTACCACGACAGACAATTACCAAGGCAAGTACCACAACAGACAATTACCAAGGCAAGTACCACGACAGACAATTACCAAGGCAAGTACCACAACAGACAATTACCAAGGCAAGTACCACAGCAGACAATTACCAAGGCAAGTACCACAATTGACAATTACCAAGGCAAGTACCACGACAGACAATTACCAAGGCAAGTACCACAACAGACAATTACCAAGGCAAGTACCACGACAGGCAATTACCAAGGCAAGTACCACAACAGACAATTACCAAGGCAAGTACCACAACAGACAATTACCAAGGCAAGTACCACAATAGACAATTACCAAGGCAAGTACCACAGCAGACAATTACCAAGGCAAGTACCACAATTGACAATTACCAAGGCAAGTACCACGACAGACAATTACCAAGGCAAGTACCACAACAGACAATTACCAAGGCAAGTACCACGACAGGCAATTACCAAGGCAAGTACCACAACAGACAATTACCAAGGCAAGTACCACAACAGACAATTACCAAGGCAAGTACCACAATAGACAATTACCAAGGCAAGTACCACAACAGACAATTACCAAAGCAAGTACCACAACAGACAATTACCAAGGCAAGTACCACGACAGGCAATTACCAAGGCAAGCACCAGAACAGACAATTACCAAGGCAAGTACCACGACAGACAATTACCAAGGCAAGTACCACAGCAGACAATTACCAAGGCAAGTACCACAACAGACAATTACCAAGGCAAGTACCACGACAGACAATTACCAAGGCAAGTACCACGACAGGCAATTACCAAGGCAAGCACCAGAACAGACAATTACCAAGGCAAGTACCACAACAGACAATTACCAAGGCAAGTACCACGACAGGCAATTACCAAGGCAAGTACCACAACAGACAATTACCAAGGCAAGTACCACAACAGACAATTACCAAGGCAAGTACCACAACAGACAATTACCAAGGCAAGTACCACGACAGGCAATTACCAAGGCAAGTACAACAACAGGCAATTACCAAGGCTAGTACTACGACAGGCAATTACCAAGGCAAGTACCACGACAGGCAATTACCAAGGCAAGTACCACAACAGGCAATTACCAAGGCTAGTACTACGACAGGCAATTACCAAGGCAAGTACCACGACAGGCAATTACCAAGGCAAGTACCACAGCAGACAATTTCCAAGGCAAGTACCACAACAGACAATTACCAAGGCAAGTACCACAACAGACAATAAGTTAACCACTTGTCTCTCTGGTGGTGGGGAAGAAATTTGAAAGTGGGATTCTAAGACTTGGGTAGAAGGGAGTCGGGCGGTCAATATTAGGATTATTGTAATCATTGGGTCATACAGCGCCTGGGGAAATAAAAAAAAATAATCAAGCTTGATCCGCGGTAAAGGAAGAGTAGCTCCAGTTATGTGGATCAAGAGTCCCTCTCCAGCATAAAAGGTACATCACCCTTCCTTGAAGTGCTCTGCATCAACAGTGTTAATGTTTATAGTTGAAAGTAGTTTTATTGGTTAATTTTTGTTAATACGCCACAGCTGTCATCCACTCATTGGTGAGTTAACATGACTCACGGAATCGTAATAACACAGATAAATAACACTTATAATTTGCATTTGTGGTCACAGTGGTGGCTCATGCTAACCTCCCTATGGTGTTTCAATATATCTAAATGGATGGATGTTATTGTAGCCAGCTGGCACAGTGACCACGCACTGGCCTGGAGTTTTACAACTCACCTTTCCGTGAGTTCGATTCCCACCCGTTTCGTGATAGGATTGATGAGGTAATTTCTGTTGATATACCACAACTATCATCCACTCATTAGTATGATTTCGTGTGTTAATTTCTATTCGAACATTGACTGATCATGTGCTCTCAGTGTTAATCGGCGTGTTAACTGTTATTTCTGTACCAGCGTGATCATTGGCTTTCAACAGTGTTAACTGCTGTGTTAACTTCTGCTTCTATATTGTTACCATCATCCACTCCTAGTCCTATAGTCCTACGACCTGCCTTTACTGCTCCTCCTCCCGCCTCTCTTGTCCCGTCCCTGCCAGCTAGCCTATATATACTGGCTCCTTCTCTCCTTTCCGTCATTCTTATTCATTCAGTAACTATAATGGTTATAAATGAACATAATTTTTAAACGGGTGGACCGGTAAACCAGCGGAAGGCCTCGGTCAGATGACCAAAGCTCCAAAGGAGAGTCATCATCTGACTAAGACCCGAGTCAGGAAACACTTGTCATGTTTCCTGGCGAACCTTACCTAACCTAACCTTCTTTAAGTCAGTGTGATTTTGTAAATGGTCCAAGCCGGACCGAAACGTCGTCGTAAGCTCCTCTCTCCTATGTTCAGGTTACTTGTGTATTGTTCCAGTCACGATATTGCGCATTTTTATTCTTTACTTGGTATTCTGGAATGAGTTATAGCTGTGTATATTGTAAATACCTTTAATAAATTGCCTAAGACGGTAGAACTTTCATGACTGCCGTCTTGTGTTTGGCCGCAGCTACGAGTTCGTGGTTCCAAAGGACCGTGTGTTTGGCAACAGGATGAGCAACGGCTCTTGGACCGGCATGATGGGGCTGCTCGTCAGAAAGGTTGGTCAGTCTGTTGTTCCGCGACCCTCTTGTTCCAACGCACGTCTCCTTTGTCCCAACGCACGTCTCCTTTGCCCCAACGCATGTCCCCCTTATTCCAACGCACGTCCCCCTTGTTCCAACGCACGTCCCCCTTGTTCCAACGCACGTCCCCCTTGTTCCAACGCACGTCCTCCTTGTTCCAATGCACGTCCCACTTGTTCCAATGCACGTCTCCCTTGTTCCAACGCACGTCCCCCTTGTTCCAACGCACGTCCCCCTTGTTCCAACGCACGTCCCACTTGCTCCAACGCACGTCTCCTTTGTCCCAACGCACGTCCCCCTTGTTCCAACGCACGTCCCATTTGTTCCAACGCACGTCTCCTTTGTCCCAACGCACGTCCCCCTTGTTCCAACGTAATTCCCTCTTGTTCCAACGCACGTTCCTCTTGTTCCAACGCACGTCTCCTTTGCCCCAACGCACGTCCCCTTGTTCCAGCGCACGTCCCCCTTATTCCAACGCACGTCCCTTTGTTCCAACGCACGTCTCCTTTGTCCCAACGCACGTCCCCCTTGTTCCAACGCACGTCCCTCTTGTTCCAACGCACGTGCCTCTTGTTCCAACACACGTCTCCTTTGTCCCAACGCACGTCCCCCTTGTTCCAACGCACGTCCCTCTTGTTCCAACGCACGTGCCTCTTGTTCCAACACACGTCTCCTTTGTCCCAACGCACGTCCCCCTTGTTCCAACGCACGTCCCTCTTGTTCCAACGCACGTGCCTCTTGTTCCAACGCACGTCTCCTTTGCCCCAACGCACGTCCCCTTGTTCCAACGCATGTCCCCCTTGTTCCAACGCACGATCCTTTGTTCCAACGCACGTCTCCTTTGTCCCAACGCACGTTCTCCTTGTTCCAACGCACGTCCCTCTTGTTCCAGCGCACGTCCCCATTGTTCCAACGCACGTCTCCTTGTTCCAACGCACGTCTCCTTGTTCCAACGCACGTCTCCTCTGTCCCAACGCACGTCCCCTTTGCTCCAACGCACGTCCCTCTTGTTCCAACGCACGTCCCCCTTCTTCCAAAGCACGTTCCCCTTGTTCCAACGCACGTCCCCCTTGTTCCAACGCACGTCCCCATTGTTCTAAAGCACGTCCCACTTGTTCCAACGCACGTCCCCCTTGTTCCAACGCATGTCCCCCTTGTTCCAACGCACGTCCCACTTGTTCCAACGCACGTCCCTCTTATTCCAGCGGACGTCTTCTTTGCCCCAACGCAGGTCACCTTGTTCCAACGCATGTCCCCCTTGTTCCAAAGCACGTCCCCTTGTTCCAACGCACATCTCCTTTGTCCCAACGCACGTCCCCCTTGTTCCAACGCACGTCCACCTTGTTCCAACGCACGTCCCTCTAGTTCCAAAGCACGTCCCCTTGTTCCAACCCACGTCCCTTTGTTCCAGCGCACGTCCCCCTTGTTCCAACGCACGTCCCCTTGTTCCAACGCACGTCTCCCTTGTTACAACGCACGTCCCTTTGTTCCAACGCTCGTCCCCTTGTTCCAGCGCACGTCCCCCTATTTCCAACGCACGTCCCATTGTTCCAACGCACGTCCCCCTTGTTCCAACGCACGTCTCCTTGTTTCAACGCACGTCTCCTTTGTCCCAACGCACGTCCCCCTTGCTCCAACGCACGTCCCCCTTGTTCCAACGCAGGTCCCCTTTGTTCCAAAGCACGCCCCCTTGTTCCAACGCACGTCCCATTGTTCCAACGCACGTCCCTCTTGTTCCAACGTACTTCCCTCTTGTTCCAACGCACGTCCCCCTTGTTCCAACGCACGTCCCCTTGTTCCAACGCATGTCCCCCTTGTTCCAACGCACGTCCCACTTGTTCCAACGCACGTCTCCTTTGTTCCAACGCACGTCCACTTTGTTCCAACGCACGTTCCCCTTGTTCCAACTCACGTCCCTCTTGTTCCAGCGCACGTCTTCTTTGCCCCAACGCAGGTCACCTTGTTCCAACGCACTTCCCATTTGTTCCAAAGCACGTCCCCTTGTTCCAACGCACATCTCCTTTGTCCCAACGCACGTCCCTCTTGTTCCAACGCACGTCCACCTTGTTCTAACGCACGTCCCTCTAGTTCCAAAGCACGTTCCCTTGTTCCAACGCACGTCCCCTTGTTCCAGCGCACGTCCCCCTTGTTGCAACGCACGTCCCCTTGTTCCAACGCACGTCCCCCTTGTTTCAAAGCACGTCTCCCTTGTTACAACGCACGTCTCTTTGTTCCAACGCTCGCCCCCTTGTTCCAGCGCACGTCCCCCTTGTTCCAAGGCACGTCCCATTGTTTCAACGCACGTCCCCTTGTTCCAACGCACGTCTCCCTTGTTCCAACGCACGTCCCTTTGTTCCAACGCTCGTCCCCTTGTTCTAGCGCACGTCCTCTTGTTCCAACGCACGTTCCCTTGTTCCAACGCACGTCCCCCTTGTTCCAACGCACGCCTCCCTTGCTCCAACGCACGTCCCCCTTGTTCCAACGCACGTCCCCCTTGTTCCAACGCACGCCTCCCTTGCTCCAACGCACGTCCCCCTTGTTCCAACGCACGTCCCCTTGTTCCAGCGCACGTCATCCTTGTTCAAACGCACGTCCCCCTTGTTCCAAAGCACGTCCCCTTATTCCAACGCACGTCCCCTTGTTCTAGCGCACGTCCACCTTGTTCCAACGCACCTTCTCCTTGTTCCAACGAACATCTCCCTTGTTCCAACGCACGTCCCCCTTGTTCCAACGCACGTCCCTTTGTTCCAACGCACGTCCCCTTGTTCCAGCGCACGTCCCCTTGTTCCAGCGCGCGTCCCCTTGTTTCAACGCACGTCCCATTGTTCCAGCGCACTTCCCTCTTGTTTCAACGCACGTCCCACTTGTTCCAGCGCACGTCCCCCTTGTTCCAAAGAACGTCCCACTTGTTCTAACGCACGTTCCACTTGTTCCAACGCACGTCCCCTTGTTCCAACGCACGTCCCCCATGTTCCAAAGCACGTCCCACTTGTTCCAACGCACGTCCTCCTTGTTCCATCGCACGTCCTCTTGTTCCAACGCACGTCTGCCTTGTTCCATCGCACGTCCTCTTGTTCCAACGCTCGTCCCCCTTGTTCCAACGCACTTCTCCCTTATTTCAACGCACGTCTCTGTTGCTCTATTGTTCCAGTACACATCTGTTGTTCCATTCCCCCCACACATTAACAGCTTCACTAATAACAACCTCAGACACAAATACAACACTGCCCAGGTGTCGACCACACTGTTTTGAACAAGTCAGTCTGGACCATCATTTTGTTTAATAATGGATTTCACTGACCAGTTCAAACGTTTGTTTTAAATCAAACGTTCTTTGCTATAATCGTTTTTCTATTACTGTTTATCCTGTGAATCATGATAACCTGTGAAACTTGAGAACCTGTGAATCATGAGAACCTGTGAATCATGAGAACCTGTGAATCATGAGAACCTGTGAATCATGAGAACCTGTGAATCATGAGAACCTGTGAATCTTGAGATCCTGTGACTCTTGAGAACCTGTGAATCATGAGAACCTGTGAAACTTGAGAACCTGTGAATCATGAGAACCTGTGAATTATGGGAACATGTGAATCCTCAGAACCTGTGAATCATCAAAGCCTGCGAATCCTGAGAACCTGTGAATCATGAGAACCTGTCAATCATGAGAACCTGTCAATCATGAGAACCTGTGAATTATGGGAACACGTGAATCCTCAGAACCTGTGAATCATCAAAGCCTGCGAATCCTGAGAACCTGTGAATCATAAGAACCTGTGAATCATGAGAACCTGTCAATCATGAGAACCTGTGAATCATAAGAACCTGTGAATCATGAGAACCTGTCAATCATGAGAACCTGTGAATCATGAGAACCTGTGAATCATGAGAACCTGTGAATCTTGAGATCCTGTGACTCTTGAGAACCTGTGAATCATGAGAACCTGTGAAACTTGAGAACCTGTGAATCACAAGAACCTGTGAATTATGGGAACATGTGAATCCTCAGAACCTGTGAATCATCAAAGCCTGCGAATCCTGAGAACCTGTGAATCATGAGAACCTGTCAATCATGAGAACCTGTGAATCATAAGAACCTGTGAATCATGAGAACCTGTCAATCATGAGAACCTGTGAATCATAAGAACATAAGAACCTGTGAATCATGAGAACCTGTGAATCTTGAGAACCTGTGAATTATGAGAACCTGTGAATCATGAGATCCTGTGAATCATGAGAACCTGTGAATCATGAGAACCTGTGAATCATGAGAACCTGTGAATCTTGAGAACCTGTGAATCATGAGAACCTGTGAATCATGAGATCCTGTGAATCATGAGAACCTGTGAATCATGAGAACCTGTGAATCATGAGAACCTGTGAATCTTGAGAACCTGTGAATCATGAGAACCTGTGAATCATGAGATCCTGTGAATCATGAGAACCTGTGAATCATGAGAACCTGTGAATCATGAGAACCTGTGAATCATGAGATCCTGTGAATCATGAGAACCTGTGAATCATGAGAACCTGTGAATCATGAGAACCTGTGACTCTTGAGAACCTGTGAATCATTAGAACCTGTGAATCATTAGAACCTCTGAATCCTCAGAACCTGTGAATCCTCAGAACCTCTGAATTCTGAGATCCTGTGAATCATTAGAACCTATGAGTCTTGAGAACCTGTGAATCATGAGAACCTGTGAATTATGAGAACCTGTGAATTATGAGAACCTGTGAATCATGAGAATCTGTGAATCATTCGAACCTGTGAATCATTAGAACCTGTGAATCTTGAGAACCTGTGAATCATTAGAACCTGTGAGTCTTTAGGACCTGTGAATCATGAGAACCTGTGAATCATGAGAACCTGTGAATCATTAGAACCTGTGAATCATTATAACCTGTGAATCTTGAGAACCTGTGAATCATTAGAACCTGTGATTCTTGAGAACCTCTGACTCATTAGAACTTGTGAATTATTAGAACCTGTGAGTCATGAGAACCTGAGAATCATTAGAACCTGTGAATCATGAGAATCTGTGAATCACGAGAACCTGTGAATCATGAGAACCTGTGAATCCTCAGAACCTGTGAATCATGAGAAACTGTGAATCCTCAGAACCTGTGAATCATGAGAACCTGTGAATCCTCAGAACCTGTGAATCATGAGAACCTGTGAATCCTCTGAACCTGTGAATCCTCAGAACCTGTGAATCCTCAGAACCTGTGAATCCTAAGAACCTGTGAATCCTCAGAACCTGTGAATCATGAGAACCTGTGAATCCTCAGAACCTGTGAATCATGAGAACCCGTGAATCCTAAGAACCTGTGAATCCTAAGAACCTGTGATTCATGACATTCAGTGTATCTAGGTAACCTCAGTACTTGTGAATCTCTGGATTATGTGAACCTCAGAGTTGTTGTGTCACCAGGAGGTGGAGATGTCTGGGGTGGTCTTCTCTGTGGACGAGATGCGCAACACAGCCGTCGACTTCAGTGTTCCACTCTACATGAACGAGTTCGTGCTCCAGTACAGGCGTCCTAAATTGACTTCAGACATAGCCGGCTTTGTCAAGCCTTACACCATCGAGGTGAGTTGCTGAACGAGGAGGGAGAATTAGATACGTGTGCAGCATCAGGGTATCGTAAGTAAGTTTATTCAGGTATACACAAATACAGTTACGTAGATTATTATACATAGCAGCATATGTGTAGAGAACCTAAGATATCCCCAAAAATGTCAGACAAAAGTGACTTATTTCCAGTGGGGTTGGGTTAGTTTAGCGTAGGTGAGGGTAGGGTGGGATTGATGATAGTAGGTTAGGGTAGGGTGGGATTGATGAGAGTAGGTTAGGGTAGGGTGGGATTGATGAAAGTAGGTGAGGGTAGGGTGGGATTGATGAAAGTAGGTGAGGGTAGGGTGGGATTGATGAAAGTAGGTGAGGGTAGGGTAGGATTGATGAAAGTAGGTGAGGGTAGGGTGGGATTGATGATAGTAGGTTAGGGTAGGGTGGGATTGATGACAGTAGGTTAGGGTAGGGTGGGATTGATGAGAGTAGGTTAGGGTAGGGTGGGATTGATGAGAGTAGGTTAAGGGTAGGGTGGGATTGATGAGAGTAGGTTAGGGTAGGGTAGGATTGATGAGAGTAGTTTAGGGTAGAGTGGGGTTGATTAGAGTAGGTTAGGTGAGGCTAATTTAGGTTATGTTACGTAGGGTTAGATTAAGCTAAGTTAGGTTAGGCTAAAGTAGGTTTGCGTTTTCTTAATGTAGAATGGATTACATTTGTTCCATAATCATGACTTTAAGAGATACTGATAAATAAACGAACGGATGCAGCCAATGCACACACACACACACACACACACACACACACACACACACACACACACACACACACACACACACACACACACAAGCAAACACTTGTGTTTTTGTGTGTGTTTCTGTGTATGTGCTTGTGTACGTGTGTGAGTGTTTGTATGTGTGTATGCGCGCGCGGGTGTGTGTGTGTGTGTGTGTGTGTGTGTGTGTGTGTGTGTGTGTGTGTGTGTGTGTGTGTGTGTGTGTGTGTGTGTGTGTGTGTGTGTGTGTGTGTAGTGGGAGTGTGATGAATGGTTTGAAAAACCGACAAGTTGAAGATTGAGACACTTATGCAACATATGGGAATCTTTATTCAGGAAACGTTTCGCCACACAGTGGCTTCATCAGTCCAATACAAAGCAGAAGGTGGATGGTACCACTATGACCCTGCCTCCTCCTGCTTCACCTCACCTCACTACAGTATATAAGCCACGTCTACGGCCCTATGCTGTACATTCTACAAGATTGATGGACTGAACACATCGACTCCAGGCTGAGGGACTGATTACCTCAAACTCCTCCTCTCCTTACGCCTTTCTCCTTTGTATTGGACTGATGAAGCCACTGTGTGGCGAAACGTTTCCTGAATAAAGATTCCCATATGTTGCATAAGTGTCTCAATCTTCAGTGTGAGTGTGTGTAGTGGGAGTGTGTGTAGTGGGAGTGTGTGTAGTGGGAGTGTGTAGTGGGAGTGTGTGTAGTGGGAGTGTGAGTCGTGTGAGTGTGTGTAGTGGGAGTGTGTGTAGTGGGAGTGTGTGTCGTGTGAGTGTGTAATGGGAGTGTGTGTAGTGTGAGTGTGTGTCGTGTGAGTGTGTGTAGTGGGAGTGTGTGAAGTGTGCGTATGTGTACTGTGAGTGTGTTTAGTGTGTGTGTGTGTAGTGTGAGTGTGTAGTGTGAGTGTGTGGTATGTGTGTGGTGCGTATATGTGGTGTGGGTGTGAGTGATGTTCGTGTGGTAGTGGTGTGGAGGTGGAAGCGGTAGTGATGGTGGTAACGGTGGTAGTTGTGGTAGTGTGCAGTATGCTTGACATGGTGCCAGTGTGTGTGTGTCTGTGTGTGTGTGTGTGGCTCCCGGATATCACTCACTACAAGGAATAGTCTCTCCTTACCTCCACCACCACCACTACCACCACCACTGCCACCACAACCTCTACTACCACAACGACCACGATCAACACTACTACCACCACCATCCCGACTCCCCCCACCACCACCAGATCCACCACTAACACCACTACTACCGCTACTGCAACACTTAGTAGTAATAACACCACCACCACCACCAGCATCAACACCACCACCATCACCACCACTAGCAATGCCACCATCACCACCAGTACTACCACCACCACAACCACTAGTTGTAATACCACCACCACGTCAGTGGAGTGGTTAGTGGTCAGTCGTCACGTGAGGTCACAGACCCTGAGCTGCTTTGGGGATTAGCGTGGACGGTTACAAAGCATGGCTTGCTTCTGCAGTGTTTTAAAAATTGAGGTTGGAGAGTTGAAGGAGGAGGTCTTGCTTCTCCAGGAGGAGATTAGGAGGTTGAAGGTGCACCTCAATGGGTCTGGGAGAGAGTGTGAGGTGGCTGGAGTTGTGGGGAATGAGGCTTCTAGCAGTGAGGTGCAGTCTTTCTCTCGCTGTGAGGAGGCTGTAGGTGGGGAAGTAGCAACGGCTACCAGCAGTCCAGCACCTGCTACAAGTGGCGAGTGGTTCACAGTAATGGGAGGTGCATCAGAGTAAGGAAAGTTAAGAGTGAAGATCTGAAGGTAGGAAATCGCTTCTCTGTTCTTCAGGATGAATGTACTTCAGTGGCCAGTGAAGGTAAGGGTACTACTGCCCCTGCTAATGGAGGTAAGCGCATTCTTGTGGTTGGTGACTCTCAGGTAAGATATATTGACCGTGCTTTTTGTAATAGGAGTAAGAAGATGAGAGATAGAGTGTGCTTCCCTGGAGCTGGTGTTGGGGACATAGTTAACAGGCTGGATAATATCATGTCAGGTAATGGGAACAAGCCCTTTATCTGTCTCAGTGCTGGTGGAAATGATATTGGGAAGGATAGGAGAGAAGAGCTGCTAGATAAGTACAGGTCAGCTATAGATTTCATTAAGTCTAAGGGAGGGATCCCAATCATATGTAGCATCTTGCCTAGAAGGGGAGTAGGAAATGAATGGTTGTCTAGGGCAATTGGTGTAAATTGCTGGCAAGGCAGATACTGCAAGGAACTTGCAATCCCATTCATTGACAACTGGAACAACTTTTATGGCAAACATGATATGTATGCAAGGGATGGGGTACATCTCTCTGGGGCTGGGGTGGTAGCACTTGCAGACTCGATTGAGAAGGCCATTGGTGAAATGCCTATGATTTTAAACTGATGGAAGATAGAGGTATGGGTGTGTGTGGGAAACAAGCAGGTTGCAACACTAGGGTTGGAAACAGTAAATGTATAAAAGGCATTCAGCATGAAGTTATAAATAAAAACAATAGATCAGGTCAGCAAACAAAGGGGGATAGCAGAGGGCAGCAAGGGACTAGCTCCCTTAAGGTTTACTATACTAATAGCAGGAGTGTAAGAAATAAGACAGATGAGCTAAGATTAATTGCAAGTGCAGGAAACATAGATATTATTGCTATAACAGAGACCTGGCTCAATCTGAAAGACAGAGAGATGCCCTCTGAATGTCACATACAAGGCTATAAATTATTCCACACTGACAGGGTCAACAGGAAAGGTGGTGGAGTAGCGATGTATGTTAGAGACAATTTAAATTGTTGTGTTAGACAAGATATTAAATTAGAAGCGTCAGCCACTGAATCTGTTTGGTTACAGCTTCTCGAGGGCCGAGAAAAACTAATTTTGGGTGTGATTTACAGGGCCCCAAATCTTGATAGGGAGTGCAGTAAACTTCTATGGGACGAAATTCGTAAGGCATCTACATACGAAAATGTTGTGCTAATGGGAGATTTCAACTATAGACAGATTGACTGGAGCAATTTGAAAGGAAATTTAGAGTCAGGTGACTTTCTTGATACGATCCAGGATTGTTTTTTAAAACAGTTTGTGACAGAGCCAACTAGGGGAAATAACCTCCTTGACTTGGTTCTTGCCAGTAGGGAAACACTAATTAATAATCTTGAGGTTAATGATGAGCTTGGGGAAAGTGATCACAAATCACTCAGTTTTAATATATCATGGAATTCCCCTAATAATGGCAATCAAGTCTCTGTCCCTGACTTCCGCTTGGCTGATTTCATAGGACTGAAAAATTACTTAGGTGGGCTGAACTGGAATGACCTGACTAAGGGTCAGGTAGGTGGTGATGGTTGCCGATATGACGCTTTCCAGGGCATAGTTCTAGCTGCTCAGTCAAATTATGTTCCAAATATGGAAATCAGATCAAACAAAAATGATCCTAAATGGATGAACAATAGATTAAAATATCTAATTGGTCAAAAGAGAGGCATATATAGGCAATTCAAAAGAGGAGAGGGGCAATTAAGAAATCGATATATTCAGTTAAAAAGAGAAATAAAAAAAGGAATTAGAAAAGCAAAAAGAGATTATGAGGTTAAGGTTGCAAGAGATTCGAAGACTAACCCAAAAGGATTCTTTCAGGTATACAGAAGTAAGATCAGGGACAAGATAGGCCCACTCAAAAGTTCCTCGGTTCAGCTCACTGACAGTGATAAGGAAATGTGTAGAAGTTTTAACACATACTTCCTCTCAGTTTTTACGAAGGAGGATACCAGCGATATTCCAGAAATGATAAATTATGTGGAACAGGACGATAATAAACTGTGCACGATTAGGGTCACAAATGACATGGTCCTTAGGCAAATAGATAAATTAAAACCTAACAAATCCCCAGGCCCTGATGAACTGTATGCAAGGGTTCTAAAGGAATGTAAAGAGGAGCTTAGCAAACCTTTGGCTAATCTTTTCAACATATCACTACAAACTGGCATGGTGCCGGATAAGTGGAAAATGGCAAATGTGATACCTATTTTCAAAGCAGGTGACAGGTCCTTAGCTTCGAACTATAGACCAATAAGCCTAACCTCCATAGTGGGAAAATTTATGGAATCAATAATTGCCGAGGCAGTTCGTAGCCACCTTGAAAAGCATAAATTAATCAACGAATCTCAGCATGGTTTTACAAAGGGGCGTTCCTGCCTTACGAATTTATTAACTTTTTTCACTAAGGTATTTGAGGAGGTAGATCATGGTAATGAATATGATATTGTGTATATGGACTTCAGTAAGGCTTTTGACAGGGTCCCACATCAGAGACTATTGAGGAAAATTAAGGCACATGGAATAGGAGGAGAAATTTTTTCCTGGATAGAGGCATGGTTGACAAATAGGCAGCAGAGAGTTTGCATAAATGGGGAGAAATCAGAGTGGGGAAGCGTCACCAGCGGTGTTCCACAGGGGTCAGTGTTGGGTCCCCTGCTGTTCACAATATACATAAACGACATAGTTGAGGGCATAAAGAGCGACATCAGCAAGTTTGCCGATGACACCAAAATAGGCCGTCGAATTCATAATGAAGAGGACATTAGAGCACTCCAGGAAGATTTGAGTAGACTGATGCAGTGGTCGGAGAAGTGGCAGATGCAGTTTAATATAGACAAATGCAAAGTTCTAAATGTTGGACAGGACAATAACCATGCCACATATAAACTAAATAATGTAGATCTTAATATTACTGATTGCGAAAAAGATTTAGGAGTTCTGGTTAGCAGTAATCTGAAACCAAGACAACAGTGCATAAGTGTTCGCAATAAAGCTAATAGAATCCTTGGCTTCATATCAAGAAGCATAAATAATAGGAGTCCTCAAGTTGTTCTTCAACTCTATACATCCTTTGTTAGGCCTCATTTAGATTATGCTGCACAGTTTTGGTCACCGTATTACAGAATGGATATAAATGCTCTGAAAAATGTTCAAAGGAGGATGACAAAGTTGATCCCATGTATCAGAAACCTTCCCTATGAGGATAAACTAAGAGCCCTGAATCTGCACTCTCTAGAAAGACGTAGAATTAGGGGGGATATGATTGAGGTGTATAAATGGAAGACAGGAATAAATAAAGGGGATGTAAATAGTGTGCTGAAAATATCTAGCCTAGACAGGACTCGCAGCAATGGTTTTAAGTTAGAAAAATTCAGATTCAGGAAGGATATAGGAAAGTACTGGTTTGGTAATAGAGTTGTGGATGAGTGGAACAAACTTCCAAGTACAGTCATAGAGGCCAGAACGTTGTGTAACTTTAAAAATAGGTTGGATAAATACATGAGTGGGTGTGGGTGGGTGTGAGTTGGGCCTGATTAGCTTGTGCTACCAGGACGGTTGCCGTGTTCCTCCCTTAAGTCAGGGTAACCTGACCTGACTAGGTTGGGTGCATTGGCTTAAGCCGGTAGGAGACCTGGACCTGCCTCGCATGGGCCAGTAGGCCTGCTGCAGTGTTCCTTCGTTCTTATGTTCTTATGTTCTTATGTTCTGACCTAGTAGCACAAGCTAGTCAGGTCCAACTTGCACCCATCCACATCCACTCGTGTATTTATCCAACCTATTTTTAAAACTACATAATGTCTTAGCTTCTATGACGGTACTGTGTGTGTGTGTGTACTTACCTATCTGTGGTTGCAGGGGTCGATTCACAGCTCTTGGCCCCACCTCTTCTCTGGTCGTTAATACGTTCACTCTCTTCCTGCTCCCTGTACTCACCTAATTGTGGTTGCAGGGTCGAGACATAGCTCCTGGCCTTGTGTGTGTGTTAAGCAGGATCAAGGCTGTCAAGAATATCATATTTTATCTTATCCATTTTCCTATTAACATTTCGGATGCTTCTTTATTTTAAATGAGATAAATTAAGCAAGAAAATTTTGGAACCATAGTAAATAATTTCGAAGAAATAAAAGGGGAATGTAATATAAAAAATTCAATAATCCAACAAAAGAGGTAAAATTATAGTTAGACCTTTAAGGTAAAAATATGATAACTCGCAGCTGCAGCTTTTAGTCGTCTGACCGAGACCTTCCGCTGACTTACCGTTTCACCCCATTTATTTCAAAATTATGTTGATTGCAAGCGTTTGCTGAGAGAACTAGAACTAAAAGAACTCGCAGGTAAGAACCCACGACGGGTGAAAGAGAAGTGGCGATAGATGAAGAATTGATGGGAGAGAAGAAACTACAATAAGGGGTGACTAAAGTCTTCCTTATTTCTAATAGTCTTATTATTGTAGCTGTATGTTGTAGTTGTATGTTGTAGTTGTATGTTGTAGTATGTTGTAGTTGTATGTTGTAGTTGTATGTTGGATACCAGGGGAATCCAGTCCCCTGGGGTTATGGGAGCAAGTTGCTGTTAGATTACAATAGACTAACAGCTGTTCAGTTGATTAATGTCCATATTTAAGGTAATACCAAGTTATTGACATCTTTTGAAGTCATACTGGTACCTAACAGGACTCCTGATGATGATGACTTCCACAGTCTGGTGAAGGAGTTATAGGTACATATTGGGCTATCCACTGAAGGTCTGTAAGAGTAAAAGGGTAAAGTTTCTCTGGTCTAGAACAAAGAAATGAACTTTAAGAGCTTATATTAGAAAATTTTGTGAAAGATAATAGAGCGAGTGCTCACTTTCTTTTCACTCAGAAAGATAAAACAGACTCCCATGTGATATGCACTTAGTCAAAAACCATCCAAGAAAGTTATTATTAACGTGTTAACCTTGACAGATTTGGGTTCTGGTGCTGGCGACGCTGCTGGCGATGTTCTGTGTCATCTACTCTATACAGCGAGCCCATCTCACCTTCCTGTGTAGACAGGAGGGAACGAGGTCAGGAATGGTGGACTCTAGCAACCAAGGGTCAGGTCATGGTGAGGCAGCGAGACTGAACCAGCTATGGTGGTCGTCATGTGAGTGGGTCATAGCTGGACTACTTGCACAATGTAAGTTGTAATTCCAAGTCAAAACTCACATGTTTAATCCTTATATTTATAATAATAATAATAATAATAATAATAATAATAATAATAATAATAATAATAATAATAATAATAATAATAATCAAATAGCTTCTCAAGGAACGTGAGAAAGCGAATCTTTGGTGTGACTATATACGTCTAGGTAGAAAATACGACAAACCTCTATAGAACGAAATTTTTAAGTTATCCAGATGCGAAAAAGTTGTTATAATGTGGGACTTTAATTTTATCTAAATTAATTAGAGCAGTTTGACAGGAAATTCTGAGTTTAACGATTTTCTTGATACGGTCAAGGATTGTTTTTTTGAACAGTTTGTGACAGAGCCATCTAGAGGAAATAAACTGTTTGACTTTGTTCTTGATATCAAGAAAACTCTTATTATTAATTAACGATCCCGTCCACACTAATCATGTCTGAACGGTTGCTTTGGCAACTCTATCTAGAGTGTCAAGACATGGTACTCCAAGGCTCTGCAATTCCTGCAATGCACCTGGAACGCTAGACCATATCTTGCAAGTATCGTAAAACACCCAAAGGTCATGTTAAAACACATGATATAGCTAAGTTTGTGTGAAGGCAGTTGCGACAATGAGTGTACCTGCGTACCTTGCTTAAACCTAACATCATGGAAGGGAGAGGTGGCCTATATACTAGATACTAAGATCTTTACTTTCTCTTGTGCATGAACACAAATATGCATGATATGGTACCTATATCATTTATTAATGGGTTTAGGAAAACCCCGGAATAAATCGTGTTACCACGTCAGTTACTCTGAGTTGGTGAGGTGGTCAGACCAGAGAGAGCATACGTGCTCTTTAAGTTCTGGGGCGCCACCGAGGGTATGGAAATACTCTCAGGTAAAGCCCTAACCTGGACCCCTTCCTCTACTGAGTGTGGTCTTTGAACATCAGGGGCTGTCTGTAAGGGATGAGTGGTGGAGGGGAGGTATGATGTTATTGTTACCACTGTTTGAATACCACTCACCCAGAAGGTTGGTTAACTTGGGTCACTGTGACCTCGCTGGTGTGAGCAGACCGCTAATACTTGTTTTTTAACATCCTATTCCCATGATTCTATTGTAAGTCTGCCCTTTGTACCCCGGGGCACGGCTAGGTGTTCCTTGGTGGAGTACTGGCCTATAACTAGGGACGTCGTCTCCTCCGCCATTGCAACTTACTATCATTTGGTACAAATGATCGCTGAGGCAGGTTTGGCCTGGGTCGGGCGTCGCCCCTATATACCGGTGTATCATTTTTAAGGTATACTTAATTAGCCACTAACGCCGTGTTTTCCAGTGAAGCCGGCCTGATAATGACCTCGTCCGTCCACCCCTGACGTAAAACAGGTTTCCAGTGTCCCTGACACCTGTAGTTAATTTTATCTGAGTGATGAAAGATAAAAAAAACAGCAGTGGTATTAGTAGCAGAAGAAATAATTTAGAAAGCAGCAGTAGTAGTGACCCCTCACGTGTCAAGGGAATAATAATAATGATTCTTGCCTCCTGAGCAGCGTGTTCGTGGGGGGCGCGGCGAGACATGACCCGAGTAGCCACTGCTCTGTGGTTACTGACTTCCTTTGTGCTGGCCACTGTCTACCGGTCCAACCTGACAGCCGTGCTCATCCTGCCTAAGCTGCGTCTGCCCTTCGACAGCGTGGAGGAGCTCGCTCGCACCTCCATACCTACCTATCTCTTTCCAGGAAGCGCGATTTTTTCCGCCGTCATGGTAAGGTGTCTGCAACAGCGGTATATACACCGAGATGTGTATATTTCTCAACCAGTACACCGAGAGGTGTATATCTCACAGGATTCATTAACTGAATGGTTCATATATTTAAGCGGACAAGCACCAAGTGTTGCGAACAAGGATATGCAGTGTAATACGCAGACTTAAAATTAAGTCATTTCTAAAATTTTCTCTAATACTTTTTTCACTTATGCTAATATAAAAATTAATGATTTTGTGCCATAAGAATCATAGGAAACTTACCTAACCTTATTATAACAAGTGAAATTTAATTTAGCCTAATCCAACTAAATATATTTTAAATAAGCTTACAATAACTTAATAAACAAATACAATGAAATATATTTTTTTCGTTAGTTTCAGAGTAAATTTTGCGAAATTATTGCATACACAAATGAAGTGTTGCACCAGACGAGCAAACCCAACACTACCCCATTAATAAAGTGTGTTGCACCAGACGAGCAAACCCAACACTACCCCATTAATAAAGTGTGTTGCACCAGACGAGCAAACCCAACACTACCCCATTAATAAAGTGTGTTGCACCAGGAGAGCAAACCCAACACTACCCCATTAATAAAGTGTGTTACACCAGGAGAGCAAACCCAACACTACCCCGTTAATAAAGTGTGTTGCACCAGAAGAGCAAACCCAACACTACCCCGTTAATAAAGTGTGTTGCACCAGGAGAGCAAACCCAACACTACCCCATTAATAAAGTGTGTTGCACCAGGAGAGCAAACCCAACACTACCCCGTTAATAAAGTGTGTTGCACCAGGAGAGCAAACCCAACACTACCCCATTAATAAAGTGTGTTGCACCAGGAGAGCAAATCCAACACTACCCGATTAATAAAGTGTGTTGCACCAGGAGAGCAAACCCAACACTACCCCGTTAATAAAGTGTGTTGCACCAGGAGAGCAAACCCAACACTACCCCATTAATAAAGTGTGTTGCACCAGGAGAGCAAACCCAACACTACCCCATTAATAAAGTGTGTTGCACCAGACGAGCAAACCCAACACTACCCCATTAATAAAGTGTGTTTCACCAGGAGAGCAAACCCAACACTACCCCATTAATAAAGTGTGTTGCACCAGCAAAGCAAACCCAACACTACCCCATTAATAAAGTGTGTTGCACCAGGAGAGCAAACCCAACACTACCTCATTAATAAAGTGTGTTGCACCAGGAGAGCAAACCCAACACTACCCCATTAATAAAGTGTGTTGCACCAGACGAGAAAACCCAACACTACCCCATTAATAAAGTGTGTTGCACCAGACGAGCAAACCCAACACTACCCCATTAATAAAGTGTGTTGCACCAGCAAAGCAAACCCAACACTACCCCATTAATAAAGTGTGTTGCACCAGCAAAGCAAACCCAACACTACCCCATTAATAAAGTGTGTTGCACCAGGAGAGCAAACCCAACACTACCCCATTAATAAAGTGTGTTGCACCAGCAAAGCAAACCCAACACTACCCCATTAATAAAGTGTGTTGCACCAGGAGAGCAAACCCAACACTACCCCATTAATAAAGTGTGTTGCACCAGGAGAGCAAACCCAACACTACCCCATTAATAAAGTGTGTTGCACCAGCAAAGCAAACCCAACACTACCCCATTAATAAAGTGTGTTGCACCAGCAAAGCAAACCCAACACTACCCCATTAATAAAGTGTGTTGCACCAGGAGAGCAAACCCAACACTACCCCATTAATAAAGTGTGTTGCACCAGCAAAGCAAACCCAACACTACCCCATTAATAAAGTGTGTTGCACCAGGAGAGCAAACCCAACACTACCCCATTAATAAAGTGTGTTGCACCAGGAGAGCAAACCCAACACTACCCCATTAATAAAGTGTGTTGCACCAGCAAAGCAAACCCAACACTACCCCATTAATAAAGTGTGTTGCACCAGCAAAGCAAACCCAACACTACCCCATTAATAAAGTGTGTTTCACCAGGAGAGCAAACCCAACACTACCCCATTAATAAAGTGTGTTGCACCAGCAAAGCAAACCCAACACTACCCCATTAATAAAGTGTGTTGCACCAGGAGAGCAAACCCAACACTACCCCATTAATAAAGTGTGTTGCACCAGACGAGCAAACCCAACACTACCTCATTAATAAAGTGTGTTGCACCAGCAAAGCAAACCCAACACTACCCCATTAATAAAGTGTGTTGCACCAGGAGAGCAAACCCAACACTACCCCATTAATAAAGTGTGTTGCACCAGACGAGCAAACCCAACACTACCCCATTAATAAAGTGTGTTGCACCAGACGAGCAAACCCAACACTACCCCATTAATAAAGTGTGTTGCACCAGCAAAGCAAACCCAACACTACCCCATTAATAAAGTGTGTTGCACCAGCAAAGCAAACCCAACACTACCCCATTATAAAGTGTGTTGCACCAGGAGAGCAAACCCAACACTACCCCATTAATAAAGTGTGTTGCACCAGCAAAGCAAACCCAACACTACCCCATTAATAAAGTGTGTTGCACCAGGAGAGCAAACCCAACACTACCCCATTAATAAAGTGTGTTGCACCAGGAGAGCAAACCCAACACTACCCCATTAATAAAGTGTGTTGCACCAGGAGAGCAAACCCAACACTACCCCATTAATAAAGTGTGTTGCACCAGACGAGCAAACCCAACACTACCCCATTAATAAAGTGTGTTGCACCAGGAGAGCAAACCCAACACTACCCCATTAATAAAGTGTGTTGCACCAGGAGAGCAAACCCATCACTACCCCATTAATAAAGTGTGTTGCACCAGCAAAGCAAACCCAACACTACCCCATTAATAAAGTGTGTTGCACCAGCAAAGCAAACCCAACACTACCCCATTAATAAAGTGTGTTGCACCAGGAGAGCAAACCCAACACTACCCCATTAATAAAGTGTGTTGCACCAGGAGAGCAAACCCAACACTACCCCATTAATAAAGTGTGTTGCACCAGACGAGCAAACCCAACACTACCCCATTAATAAAGTGTGTTGCACCAGGAGAGCAAACCCAACACTACCCCATTAATAAAGTGTGTTGCACCAGGAGAGCAAACCCAACACTACCCCATTAATAAAGTGTGTTGCACCAGGAGAGCAAACCCAACACTACGCTCTACAAGCTGAGGAAGCAGATGCGCTCCTACGTGGATATTCATACAGCCTTTCGTAACTTCAAGCGTGGGACCGAGGCTACCCTTATGGACAGGCACGCTGTTTTAGCCGGCATCAACATCGCTTATGCAGAAGTAAAGTCGCCAAATTCTACATAGAATTTTTGTGCTCTTATTTAAAGCACTTTCTTTGATTTTTTTTTTTACGGAGGTTTTTGATATTCAATTTTCATTAGATACCCATAAATTTTTTCATACTTTTGATACATCTTTTGTATTTTCAGTACTTTTACTTAGTGTATTTGTAATACGTTTTATTTAGTAAACTTCAGTTGATGACGAGAAGTTCGATATTGTTTTATTAATTAGGCTATATGATATAATTTTTGGATATTCCTTGTAGGACATCAGCTGCAGCTGCTGCTGTCAGCCGAGCAGCTGACAGTAGCAGCTCGCACACACACACATATATAAGAACATAAGAACATAAGAACGAAGGAACACTGCAGAAGGCCTACTGGCCCATGCAAGGCAGGTCCAAGTCTCCTACCGGCTTAAGCCAATGCACCCAACCTAGTCAGGTCAGGTCACATTGACTTAAGGGAGGAACACGGCAACCGACCTGGTAGCACAAGCTATCAGGTCTAACTCACACCCACCCACATCCACTCATGTATTTATCCAACCTATTTTTAAAGCTACACAACGTTCTGGCCTCTATAACGGTACTTGGGAGTTTGTTCCACTCATCCACAACTCTATTACCAAACCAGTACTTTCCTATATCCTTCCTGAATCTGAATTTTTCCAACTTAAAACCATTGCTGCGAGTCCTGTCTAGGCTAGATATTTTCAGCACACTATTTACATCCCCTTTATTTATTCCTGTCTTCCATTTATACACCTCAATCATATCCCCCCTAATTCTACGTCTTTCTAGAGAGTGCAGATTCAGGGCCCTTAGTCTATCCTCATAGGGAAGGTTTCTGATACATGGGATCAACTTTGTCATCCTCCTTTGTACATTTTCCAGAGAATTTATATCCATTCTGTAATAAGGTGACCAAAACTGTGCAGCATAATCTAAATGAGGCCTAACCAAGGATGTATAGAGTTGAAGAACAACCTGAGGACTCCTATTATTTATGCTTCTTGATATGAAGCCAAGGATTCTATTAGCTTTATTGCGAACACTTATGCACTGTTGTCTTGGTTTCAGATTACTGCTAACCATAACTCCTAAATCTTTTTCGCAATCCGTAATATTAAGATCTACATTATTTAGTTTATATGTGGCATGGTTATTGTCCTGTCCAACATTTAGAACTTTGCATTTGTCTATATTAAACTGCATCTGCCACTTCTCCGACCACTGCATCAGTCTATTCAAATCTTCCTGGAGTGCTCGAATGTCCTCGTCAGAATGAATTTGACGGCCTATTTTGGTGTCATCGGCAAACTTGCCGATGTCGCTCTTTATGCCCTCATCTATGTCGTTTATGTAGATTGTGAACAGCAGAGGGCCCAACACTGACCCCTGTGGAACACCGCTCGTGACACTTCCCCACTCTGATTTCTCCCCATTTATGCAAACTCTCTGCTGCCTATTTGTCAACCATGCCTCTATCCAGGAAAAAATTTCTCCTCCTATTCCATGTGCTTTAATTTTCCTCAATAGTCTCTGATGTGGGACCCTGTCAAAAGCCTTACTGAAGTCCATATACACAATATCATATTCATTACCATGATCTACCTCCTCAAATACCTTAGTGAAAAAAGTTAATAAATTCGTAAGGCAGGAACGCCCCTTTGTAAAACCATGCTGAGATTCGTTGATTAATTTATGCTTTTCAAGGTGGCTACGAACTGCCTCGGCAATTATTGATTCCATAAATTTTCCCACTATCTCAAACACTGCTGAGGATGTAAGGAAATAAGCAATTAAACTCCCCTTGTTAATGGTTTCCCTCAACGTACTGACACAACAGACCAAGCAGTGTGTTTTCTACATGTCTTCAGAGAGGCTACTGGGAGCGACCAGCTTATCACTCGCCTTCCCTAAAGGATCAACACTCAAGCCAGTGTTTGACCCACTGTAAGTCTCTTCCATAGTCATTTCTCTATCGCATTTTTACTGAATTAGATACACGTGCAACACCTGGGTATCATTATTTTGTTGACGTATCGCCAACAGTGGCTTCATCAGTACAATACAGTGGTACATACAGAAGACTCAATGAGATAATCAGTCCCTCGACCATCGTCGGCTTGATAAAGCCTCCACCTGGAGAAACTTCTATAAAATAAAGATACATAGGTGTGTAATATATAATAATAATAATAATAATAATAATAATAATAATAATAATAATAATAATAATAATAATAATAATAATAATAACAATAATAATAATAATAATAATTATTATTATTATTATTATTATTATTATTATTATTATTATTATTATTATTATTATTATTATTATTATTATTATTATATCTTTATTTTTACAAGCACGTACAAGGTATACAGACCATAGCTGACATCAATGATACACTATTATATTGAAAGCCCCTTGTTATGCTGAGCATTTCGGGCAAATTAGGTCAGTTTTGTCCCAGGATGCGACCCACACCAGTCCACTAACACCCAGATGCCTACTTTACTGATGGGTGAACATGGACAACAGGTGCCTTACGGAGACGCATCTTAATGTTTCCAGCCGTAACGGGGAAAAGACCTTAGTGTGTGAGTCGAGTGCTCTAGCATACCAGCTACGTCGGCATTCTATATCATTATATTCTGTATCAGTCTATATTCTATATAACCCTTCTAACGAAGGACTAGCCCCCTGTGTTAGGACATTCAGCGTAATGAGTGCTGGATGCTCGAACCTCAGTCTGCTTGTCGTAATATAGACCCAATACTGTACTCTAGAATTCGATTTATAGGAACCATTTGTGCCTGAGGAATCAGTAGGGAAGAAGTAACCTTAGTTGATCCGATTGCGAGGATACTTCAGGTCCTTGGATCAAAAGCCTTTGACTATCATCAAGGATATATCCGGTGAAGATTCTTTTAAATTTGTCTTATAAAGTCTAACGTAGAATTACAACAGTCACGAGGAGAATTATATCTGAGTACATTAGTACTGTGCTGCGATGTGAGTACACTAGCACTGTGCTGCGACGACAGTACACTAGTACTGTGCTGCGACGACAGTACACTAGTACTGTGCTGCGATGTGAGTACACTAGCACTGTGCTGCGACGACAGTACACTAGCACTGTGCTGCGACGACAGTACACTAGCACTGTGCTGCGACGACAGTACACTAGTACTGTGCTGCGACGACAGTTCACTAGTACTGTGCTGCGACGACAGTTCACTAGTACTGTGCTGCGACGACAGTTCACTAGTACTGTGCTGCGACGACAGTACACTAGTACTGTGCTGCGACGACAGTACACTAGTACTGTGCTGCGACGACAGTTCACTAGTACTGTGCTGCGACGACAGTTCACTAGTACTGTGCTGCGACGACAGTACACTAGTACTGTGCTGCTACGTGAGTACACTAGTGCTGTGCTGCGTCTTAAGTACAATAGTATTATGCTGCGACGTGAGTACACTAGTACTGTGCTGCGACGTGAGTACACTAGTACTGTGCCGCTACGTGAGTACACTAGTATTGTGCTGCGACGTGAGTACACTAGTACTGTGCTGCTACGTGAGTACACTATTACTGTGCTGCGACATGAGTGTACTAGTACTGTCCTACTGAGTACACCAGTACTGTGGTGCTCTATTAGTACACCATGCCATGCTAGTGAGTACACCAGTACTGCGACTACACCAGTATGGTGTTGCTGTGTGAGTACACCTGTATTGTGCTACTGAGTACGCCAGTACTGCGCTGCCAAGTACAACAGAACTGTAATACTATGTACACCAGTGATGTGTGTGTGATGAATGGTTTGAAAAACCGACAAGTTGAAGATTGAGACACTTATGCAGCATATGGGAATCTTTATTCAGGAAACGTTTCGCCACACAGTGGCTTCATCAGTCCAATACAAAGAGGAAGGCGTAAGGAGAGGAGGAGAATGAGGTAATCAGTCCCTCAACCTGGAGTCGATGTGTTCAGTCCATCAATCTTGTAGAATGTACAGCATAGGGCCGTAGACGTGGCTTATATACTGTAGTGAGGTGACGTGAAGCAGGTGGAGGCGGGGTCATAGTGGTACCATCCACTAGTCGAAGTAGGTCTTCGTCCAAAGGTTGAACAAGTGTTGAAGAATTCTTTGTAACAAGACCCCATGATGCTGCAGTGTCTGACAGTTGTGATGAATGGTTTGAAAAACCGACAAGTTGAAGATTGAGACACTTATGCAGCATATGGGAATCTTTATTCAGGAAACGTTTCGCCACACAGTGGCTTCATCAGTCCAATACAAAGAGGAAGGCGTAAGGAGAGGAGGAGAATGAGGTAATCAGTCCCTCAACCTGGAGTCGATGTGTTCAGTCCATCAATCTTGTAGAATGTACAGCATAGGGCAGTAGACGTGGCTTATATACTGTAGTGAGGTGACGTGAAGCAGGTGGAGGCGGGGTCATAGTGGTACCATCCACTAGTCGAAGTAGGTCTTCGTCCAAAGGTTGAACAAGTGTTGAAGAATTCTTTGTAACAAGACCCCATGATGCTGCAGTGTCTGACAGTTGTGATGAATGGTTTGAAAAACCGACAAGTTGAAGATTGAGACACTTATGCAGCATATGGGAATCTTTATTCAGGAAACGTTTCGCCACACAGTGGCTTCATCAGTCCAATACAAAGAGGAAGGCGTAAGGAGAGGAGGAGAATGAGGTAATCAGTCCCTCAACCTGGAGTCGATGTGTTCAGTCCATCAATCTTTTAGAATGTACAGCATAGGGCCGTAGACGTGGCTTATATACTGTAGTGAGGTGACGTGAAGCAGGTGGAGGCGGGGTCATAGTGGTACCATCCACTAGTCGAAGTAGGTCTTCGTCCAAAGGTTGAACAAGTGTCGACTAGTGGATGGTACCACTATGACCCCGCCTCCACCTGCTTCACGTCACCTCACTACAGTATATAAGCCACGTCTACGGCGCTATGCTGTACATTCTACAAGATTGATGGACTGAACACATCGACTCCAGGTTGAGGGACTGATTACCTCATTCTCCTCCTCTCCTTACGCCTTCCTCTTTGTATTGGACTGATGAAGCCACTGTGTGGCGAAACGTTTCCTGAATAAAGATTCCCATATGCTGCATAAGTGTCTCAATCTTCAACTTGTCGGTTTTTCAAACCATTCATCACAACTGCCAGACACTGCAGCATCATGGGGTCTTGTTACAAAGAATTCTTCAACACTTGTTCAACCTTTGGACGAAGACCTACTTCGACTAGTGGATGGTACCACTATGACCCCGCCTCCACCTGCTTCACGTCACCTCACTACAGTATATAAGCCACGTCTACGGCCCTATGCTGTACATTCTACAAGATTGATGGACTGAACACATCGACTCCAGGTTGAGGGACTGATTACCTCATTCTCCTCCTCTCCTTACGCCTTCCTCTTTGTATTGGACTGATGAAGCCACTGTGTGGCGAAACGTTTCCTGAATAAAGATTCCCATATGCTGCATAAGTGTCTCAATCTTCAACTTGTCGGTTTTTCAAACCATTCATCACAACTGTCAGACACTGCAGCATCATGGGGTCTTGTTACAAAGAATTCTTCAACACTTGTTCAACCTTTGGACGAAGACCTACTTCGACTAGTGGATGGTACCACTATGACCCCGCCTCCACCTGCTTCACGTCACCTCACTACAGTATATAAGCCACGTCTACGGCCCTATGCTGTACATTCTACAAGATTGATGGACTGAACACATCGACTCCAGGTTGAGGGACTGATTACCTCATTCTCCTCCTCTCCTTACGCCTTCCTCTTTGTATTGGACTGATGAAGCCACTGTGTGGCGAAATGTTTCCTGAATAAAGATTCCCATATGCTGCATAAGTGTCTCAATCTTCAACTTGTCGGTTTTTCAAACCATTTATCACAACTGTCAGACACTGCAGCATCATGGGGTCTTGTTACAAAGAATTCTTCAACACTTGTTCAACCTTTGGACGAAGACCTACTTCGACTAGTGGATGGTACCACTATGACCCGCCTCCACCCGCTTCACGTCACCTCACTACAGTATATAAGCCACGTCTACGGCCCTATGCTGTACATTCTACAAGATTGATGGACTGAACACATCGACTCCAGGTTGAGGGACTGATTACCTCATTCTCCTCCTCTCCTTACGCCTTCCTCTTTGTATTGGACTGATGAAGCCACTGTGTGGCGAAACGTTTCCTGAATAAAGATTCCCATATGCTGCATAAGTGTCTCAATCTTCAACTTGTCGGTTTTTCAAACCATTCATCACAACTGTCAGACACTGCAGCATCATGGGGTCTTGTTACAAAGAATTCTTCAACACTTGTTCAACCTTTGGACGAAGACCTACTTCGACTAGTGGATGGTACCACTATGACCCCGCCTCCACCTGCTTCACGTCACCTCACTACAGTATATAAGCCACGTCTACGGCCCTATGCTGTACATTCTACAAGATTGATGGACTGAACACATCGACTCCAGGTTGAGGGACTGATTACCTCATTCTCCTCCTCTCCTTACGCCTTCCTCTTTGTATTGGACTGATGAAGCCACTGTGTGGCGAAACGTTTCCTGAATAAAGATTCCCATATGCTGCATAAGTGTCTTAATCCACACCAGTGATGTGCTGCTGAGTACACCAGTATTGTTCTTCTGTGTAAGTACAACAAGACTGTGTTGCTGTATGAGTACACAAGGGCTGTGCTGCTGTCTGAGTACACCAGTACCATGCTGCTGTGTGAGTACACCTGTCGTGTGCAGCCATCTGTGAGCATTAGTATTACGTTGTTATCTGAGTACACCAATACTGAGCTGCTGAGTACACCAGCACTATGCTTCTGTTTGAGTACAACAGTATTGTACTGCTGAGTACATCAGTCTGTGAGGCTGTGTGAGTACAGCAGTAAATGTTCTTCTGTGTGAGTACACCCGTACTCTGCTGTTGAGTACACCCGTACTGTACTGCTGTTTACGAACACCAGTACTCTGCTTCTGTGTGAGTACACCAGTACTGTGCTGTTGAGTACACCTGTATTGTGTTGCTGAATACACCAGTATGTGCTGCTGAATACACCAGTCTGTGATACAGTGTGAGTGCACCAGTACTACGCTGCTGTCTGGGTATACCAAAACTGAACTGCTGCCATAGTACACTAGTACTGTGCTTCTGAGTACATCAATACTGTGCTTCTGTGTAAGTACACCAGTACTATGTTGCTGTGTGAGTACACCAGTACTGTGTTGCTGTGTAAGTACACCAATGCTGTGCTGAGTACACGAGTACTGTGCTGCTGAGTACAGTAGTACTATAGTGGTATGTACACCAGTACTGTGCTACTGAGTACACCAGTACTGTGTTGCTGTCTGAGTATACCTGAGCCGTGTTGCTGTGTTGGTACACCAGCACTGTGCTGCTGTCTGGTTACACAAGTACTGTGTGGCTGTCTGAGTACAACAGTACTGTGTGGCTGTCTGAGTACAACAGTACTGTGCTTGTGTGTGAATACACCAGTACTGAGCTGCTGAGTACACTAGTACTGTGATACTGAATGAGTACACCAGTACTGTGCTGCCGTGTGAGTACACGAGGACTGTGCTGCTATCTGAGCACACCAGTACTGTGCTCCTGTGTGAGTGTACCAGTACTGTGCTGCTGTCCGAGTACACAAGTTCTGTACTGCTGAGTACATGAGTCCTGTGTTGTTGTGTGAGCACACCAGTAGTGTGCTGCCGTCTGGGTGCATCAGTACTGTGCTACTGAGTACACCAACACTGTGCTGTTGTGTGAGTACACCAGCACTGTGCTGCTGTCTGAGTACACCTCAACTGTGCTGATGTCCGAGTACACCAGTACTGTGCTACTGCATGAGTACACTACTGTGCGGCATAGTACACAAGTACTGTGCTGTTCTTTGAGTACACTTGTATTGTGTTGCTGAATACATCAGTAGCTTGCTGCTTTGTGAGTACGTCAGTGCTGCTGAGAATACCAGCTCTTTTCTGCTATGTGAGTACACCAGTACTGTGCTGCTATGTGAGTACACCAGTACTGTGCTGCTATGTGAGTACACCAGTACTGTGCTGCTATGTGAGTACACCAGTACTGTGCTGCTATGTGAGTACACCAGTACTGTGCTGCTGTTTGATTACACAAGTACTGTGCTATTGAGTATATCAGTAACGTGTTACTCAGTACACGAGTACTGTGCTTCTCTCTGAGTACACCAGTACTGTGATGCTGTCTGAGGACACTAGTAGTGTTCTGTTGTGTGAGTACACCATTACTGTGCTGCTGTGTGAATACGTCAGTACTGTGCTGCTATTTGAGTACTGTGTGAGTACACATGTACTGTGCTGTTGTTTGAGTGCACCAGAACGTTGTTGTTTTCTGAGTACACCGGCACTGTGTTGCTGAGTACACCAGCATTGTGCTGCTCTGCGAGTACACAAGTAATCTGTTGTTTAGTACACCAGTATTGTGCTGCTAAGTACACCAGTACTAAGCTGCTGTTTTGAGAATACAACAGTATTGTGATGCTGTGTACACCAGTACTGTGCTGCAGTGTGAGTACGTCAGTACTATGCTGCTATGTGAGTACACAACTTACTATGCTGCTGTGTTTGTACACCAGTACTCAGTGAGTATACCAGTACTGCGGTGCTGTCTGAGTACCCCAGTATTGTGTTGCTATGTGAGTACACCAGTACCGTGCTGCTGAGTACACCAGTACTGTGTTGATGTGTGAGTACACCAGTTCTGTGTTACTTAGTACACCAGTACTATGCTGCTATGTGAGTACACCAGCACCGTGCTGCTGAGTACAACAGTACTGCGGTACTCTGTGAGCACACCAGTTCTGTGGTACTGAGTACACCAGTGCTGTGCTGCTGTGTGAGTACACTAGCACTTTGCTGATGTGTGAGTACAGCAGTACTCTGCTGATAGGTATACTTGTACTCTGGTGTTCTGTGAGTACACCAGTTCTGTGCTACTGAGTACACCAGTTCTGTGCTACTGAGTACACCAGTACTGTGTTGATGTGTGAGTATACCAGTACTGTGCTGCTCTGTGAGTACACCAGTTCTGTATTACTTAGTACACCTGTACTGTGCTGCTATGTGAGTACTTTAGCACTGTGATGTTGTGTGTGTACACAAGTGCTGTGCTACTAGGCACACCAGTTCTGTATTATTCTCTATGTACACCAAACCATGCAGAACGTACTGGTCCATTTCTTCTTTACCTCAGATACACAGGTGCTCAGTGTGACTAGAAGAAGGAGGGTTGAGAGCCATTGCAATATGAAAGGTCTGTCTGTCTGCACATGTGCCAGTCACAGAGATGGGAACAGCTAAGAGAGTCACTTGAGTGTACGTTCTGACAGCTAAGAGAGTCACGTGAGTGTACGTTCTGACAGCTAAGAGAGTCACATGAGTGTACGTTCTGGCAGCTAAGAGAGTCACTTGAGTGTACGTTCTGACAGCTAAGAGAGTCACATGAGTGTACGTTCTGACAGCTAAGAGAGTCACATGAGTGTACGTTCTGGCAGCTAAGAGAGTCACTTGAGTGTACGTTCTGACAGCTAAGAGAGTCACATCAGTGTACGTTCTGACAGCTAAGCGAGTCACATGAGTGTACGTTCTGACAGCTAAGAGACAAAGCTGTCTTGCAAAGTTTGGTTCTGCTAGCATAGCTTCCGCAGTTATTTCGTTGGTAATGTTGTTCCTGATGGACTGTGTGTATGTAATGTATGTATATTGGAATATATGTTTATTATATATGTATGTTTACTAAATATGCATTGATGAATGTTTGTTTACTGTGTATGTGTAATGTACATGTATGTATGAATGTTTACTATATATGTATGTATGCATGTATGTATTTACGTATGTATGTGTGTATATCCGTCTGTTTGTCTCACAATCTTAATTTTAAACGAATTACTAATCAATACGTTTCTTAAATATTCTTAAATTTCTTAAATATTCTTAAATATTTCTCTTCAATATTTAGATACAGATAAAGGTGCAATCCTCTTCATAATACCTGACAGAGTGCAAAGACTAAAGGAGTTCGGCATACTGGACTACATATTTAATCAAGGTTTGAGGTACGCCAACATCTGTCTCAAGGAAGAAGTCACCAGCACACGTGGTAGCGACAAGAGGGCACTCGATCTTAAGGACTTCTTGGGAATCTTCCTTCTTTACTCTTCGGGTAAGACAAAAACTGTCCGGTGAATCGATATGACAGAAGAGACGAACTCTGGGAGTTCGACTCACTGGGAGTTCGACTCACTGGAAGTTCGACTCACTGGGAGTTCGACTCACTGGAAGTTCGACTCACTGGGAGTTCGACTCACTGGAAGTTCGACTCACTGGGAGTTCGACTCACTGGAAGTTCGACTCACTGGGAACATAAACACATATGCAGTTTGATGTGATCCTTTATTGACAACGTTTCGCCTACACAGTGGGCTTTTTCAAGTCACAAACAGATCTACCTGGGGTGGAAGGTACGTGAGTATTTATAATCAGGTTCAGAATGTTGACGTCAGGTGGAGAATGCTGCATTTGATGATCTACCGGGTGGGGTTATAGTCTAAAATCTTGGGAGTTCGACTCACTGGAAGTTCGACGCACTGGGAGTTCGACTCACTGGGAGTTCGACTCACTTGAAGTTCGACTCACTGGAAGTTCGACGCACTGGGAGTTCGACTCACTGGGAGTTCGACTCACTGGAAGTTTGACTCACTGGAAGTTCGACTCACTGGGAGTTCGACTCACTGGAAGTTCGACGCACTGGGAGTTCGACTCACTGGGAGTTCGACTCACTGGAAGTTCGACTCACTGGGAGTTCAACTCACTGGAAGTTCGACTCACTAGAAGTTCGACTCACTGGGAGTTCGGCTCACTGGGAGTTCGACTCACTGGGAGTTCGACTCACTGGGAGTTCGACTCACTGGAAGTTCTACTCACTGGGAATTCGACTCACTGGGAATTCGACTCACTGGGAGTTCGACTTACTGGAAGTTCGACTCACTTGAAGTTTGACTCACTCCCCCCCCCCTACAACATCCACCACCACCAACACATCCTCCACCACGCCACACTCCATCGTAACTCCCTCCACGACAGCACACTCCAGCATGAAGCATTCCACGTCAACACTCTCCATCACAGCATTCACCATTACCACGGCCTCCACCACAACCTCCTCCACCACAACCCCCTCCACCGCAGCACCTTCCACCACAACAATTTCTCTCCACAACAATACACTCAGTCACCCCACACTAAAGTAACACTCACTCCACCACAACACTCTAACAACAATCACAACATTCACCATCACAGCACTATCCATTTCAAATCCCCGCACCGCAACACCCTCCACCACAACACCCTCCACCACAACACCCTCCACCACAACACCCTCCACCACAACACCCTCCATCACAACACCATCCGCCACAACACCCTCCACCACAACACTTCACCACAACACCCTCCACCACAACACGCTTCACCACAACATCACCACAACACCCTCCACCACAACACCCTCTACCACAAAACCCTCCACCACAACACCCTCCACCACAACACCCTCCACCACAACACCCTCCACCACAGCACCCTCCACCACAACACTCTCCACCACTATACCCTCCATTACAACATCCTTCACTACAACACCCTCTACCACAACACCCTCCACTACAAGACTCCCCCACAACACACTCAAACACAACACCCTCCACCACAGTACTCCCCACCACAACACACTCAACCACTCCACACTCTACCACGGCACCCAACACCAAAACACCCGCCACCATGACACGTACCTTCGCAACACACTCTACAACAACACACCCAACCACAAAAGATCCCACCGCAACACCCACCATAACAGCACCCTTCACCTCAACACCTACTCCCGCAACGCATTCCACCACAACACACTCAACCGCTCCACACTCCACCGCAACACCCAACACCAAAATAACATGCTCCATCACGCCCCACTCCATTACAAAGACCTCCACTACAATACCCACAACGACATCCTCGAGCACATCACCTTCCACCTCAACAACCTCCACTCCAACGCCTTTCAACCCAACACCCTTCACCTCAGCACCCTCTACCACAACACCATTCACCACAACACAATTTACCACAAACCCTCTACCACAGCATACTCCACCACAAAATATACTGCAACAACACCAGTCACTATGACACACTCCACCACAAAACATTTCACGAACACTTCCTCTACCACAGCACCCCATCAAAACATCCCCCACCACTCCATACTCCATCACAGCTTCCTCCTCCACACCACACTCCCTCACAAAGCATCGCATCATGACACTACACAATACTACACTCCGCTGAGAAACAGACCACCACAACACCCTCCACAACACTCTCCTCCACAACGACACTCTCCTCTATAACACACCACCCCTAAACATTCCACTATAACATCCTCCACCACAACTCCCTCCACTACGATGATAGGATGGATAAAGAGAACCTTCTGAATAAGGGATACCAAATCATTAATAATATCCTCTTTAAATTACTTGTTGTCTCTATGCTGCAATGCACTAACAGCCCCTTGCAAGGCAAGCGAAATTCCAGATCTGGAGAATGTTCAGAGAACCTTCACTGCGCGTGTAAGTACAGTTAAGCACCTCAATTACTGGGACTGCTTGAAGTCCCTGGACCTGTACTTCTTGGAAGGCAGGCGAGAAAGATACCCCTCGCTCGTTGCTTTCTGTGTCTTCTTGATGTACGTCTCAGCTTGGGTGTTGCTTCTTCTAGCAGAAGAGGTAGCAGTTGCCAGGCAACGACTAGTATATAGTCTGTCTCTCTCTCTCCCTGACAGGGATGCTGGCAGCCACTCTCATCTTTTTCTTGGAATTGTTCTCGGGATGTCGCAAGAATTTACGAGCCTCTCCTTCTAGAGGACCCAGCCACAGTTTTATGTAGAGATAGAAGGACCTCGCAAAATACCTTCACTGGCGAAGAAAAAAAGGTTTTGGCTAGGCCTGGAATATTGTCAAGCCACAATGACCAAGGACCAATATTGTCAAGTCATAATGATCAAGGACGAATCAAAATGTCGTCTTAACTTTCATAATAAATGTGGTTATATTGTGATATGTTGTTGCCATGTTATTGTAATTTGAATTCTTCTTGGCAGTACGATTACTTTATTTATGTGATCTAAAAACCTTTTTTTTTTGGTGACACGAGACAAGGGAGAATTTTGTTCGTCAGGAGAAATACATGAATTTGTGGCGTGGGTGTTAGTCGTGTGGGGCATCACTTGACTAACACCCACGAATGATCGGAGGAGCTCCACTCCTCCGACCTTTCGGTCATGTGACCGAGACCTTCCACTCGGTCACGGAGCCTCCCTCTCAAAAACTGCACGTCACATCGTGAGATGTGCTCCCCAGGATACAGGTGACATAATAATAGCACACAGTAGTCTCCCGAAGCACAAGTGATACATAGCATCACGGTAGCCCCAGGAACAGGAGATACATTTTGGATCACTGATATCCTAGAACACAGGTAGCACACAGTGGATTACTACACAGCAGTTTCCCAGGATACACGTGACAGTTTAGTTTAATATCTTTATTATGCACCCCATACCCATCCTGTGGGAGGTAGTCAAAAGATTACAGAGGTACATAATTGGTCCAGGGGCTGGGCCTCAAAGTTTTGATAGATGAGCAAGTTACAAAGGTAATGAAGTCACAATTTACAAAGGTAATGAACTCCAGGTAAGTCTGGTCACAATCATGACAAGTTACAAAGGTATTTACAGATTACAGAGGTACGTAATGGGTCCAGGGACTGGGCCCCCAAAGTTTTGATAGCTGAACTAGGTACAAAGGTAATGAACTCACAAGTTACAAAGGTAATGAATCCTGTAAGCACGTGACACACGTACGATCACCACACAGTCGCATACTAAAGGCTTAGGTTCCTCGTTTGCTGTTACATAGGTATCAACTCTGCACCCTTGTTCAGTGTTGCAAAGTAACACACGTGTAACGCTTTAATTCACAGTGCATCGATTTGTTTTCGTTCAGTACGTATTTTTTTTACAGCATATAGACAAGAAAGAAGAAATATGCGCAAGAGTTTGTCAATGGCTTCTCCTGTAGTTAAGATCATATAAAATAAATGGTACATAATACCGACAAGTATGTGAAAAAGACTCACTTAGGTATCCTTATTACCTTGTCACCAGTACAGCAGCCGTCTAGTATGTGAAAAAGACCCACTTGGGTATCCTTATTACCTTGTCACCAGTACAGCAGCCGTCTAGTATGTGAAAAAGACCCACTTAGGTGTCCTTATTACCTTGTCACCAGTACAGCAGCCGTCTAGTATGTGAAAAAAGACCCACTTAGGTGTCCTTATTACCTTGTCACCAGTACAGCAGCCGTCTAGTATGTGAAAAAGACTCACTTAGGTATCCTTATTACCTTGTCACCAGTACAGCAGCCGTCTAGTATGTGAAAAAGACCCACTTGGGTATCCTTATTACCTTGTCACCAGTACAGCAGCCGTCTAGTATGTGAAAAAGACCCACTTAGGTGTCCTTATTACCTTGTCACCAGTACAGCAGCCGTCTAGTATGTGAAAAAAGACCCACTTAGGTGTCCTTATTACCTTGTCACCAGTACAGCAGCCGTCTAGTATGTGAAAAAGACTCACTTAGGTATCCTTATTACCTTGTCACCAGTACAACAGCCGTCTAGTATGTGAAAAAGACCCACTTGGGCACTTGGGTATCCTTATTACCTTGTCACCAGTACAGCAGCCGTCTAGTATGTGAAAAAGACCCACTTAGGTGTCCTTATTACCTTGTCACCAGTACAGCAGCCGTCTAGTATGTGAAAAAGACCCACTTAGGCGTCCTTATTACCTTGTCACCAGTACAGCAGCCGTCTAGTATGTGAAAAAAGACCCACTTAGGTATCCTTATTACCTTGTCACCAGTACAGCAGCCGTCTTTAGTCAAACACACATAATTATAACACTGTAAAGACGGTCTCTAACACAGGGCAGGTGAGGCCACAAGACAGAGCTACCAGTAGTTCCCAACCATCTGAATTAGCAAAGAAATGAGAAGCATGATCTATCTTTTCACTTGACTGAAAGTTAACAACCCAAGCATCTTTAGAAAGCACTACTACAATCAACATAGAACATTATAAATACATGTATATGGTATAGACCTAATTAGGTACGGAAAGCATTAAGAACACAGACACATTGAATTTGCTTAATGTTGACACTTTATTAGGTTAGGAAAAAAAAGGATCTTTTTAAAGCTTCATATTCGTGGAATTAAAGCATAACACGTTTTAAATGTATTTAAAAAATCCTCTATTGAGTAGAAAGTTCCCAAGAGTCAAGATAACTAAGTCTAAGACCAATACTACTCTCACCTGATGATCACCAGCTGTGTGATCACCAGCTGCGTGATCACCAGCTGTGTGATCACCAGCTATGTGATCACCAGCTATGTGATCACCAGCAATGTGATCGCCAGCTGTGTGATCACCAACTGTGTGATTACCAGCTGTGTGATCATCAGCTGTGTTATCACCAACTGTGTTATCACCAGCTGTGTTATCACCAGCTGTGTTATCACCAGCTGTGTTATCACCAGCTGTGTTATCACCAGCTGTGATCACCAACTGTGTGATCACCAACTGTGTGATTACCAGCTGTGTGATCATCAGCTGTGTTATCACCAGCTGTGTTATCACCAGCTGTGTTATCACCAGCTGTGTTATCACCAGCTGTGTTATCACCAGCTGTGTTATCACCAGCTGTGTCACTTCATACAAGCAGCATAAATCACATTTTGATAATGTTGCCGCTTCTTTCAAGACAGATTTTAATCTTTGATATTCCATCAATCACTATAAAATCTTCTATTTCTCAAAAACCCTCACCCTACACTTCTTTATATATAGTCAATAACTATCCAAAAAAGTCTGAATCAAAATATCTTTAGCTACAGTACCTTTAATTTCTATAGGTATCTGCCTTTTATCCTATAAAACAATGTTCAAAACTAAGGCAGGTTAGTTAACCATAGATTAAATTAAATATATTTATCTTAATCACTTTGCTATTAATTACCATTTCAGGTTTAAGGATCCTGTTGCATTCCTTTGATGCTCAGATACAGCGGTTCAGTTCATTTGTTCAAACTGTATTATTAGATATATCGGAATCACATTCCGAAACACAAAAATCAGACTAAAATTTAACTTTGGTCCAGGTTGAACCGAAGCGTCGTCATAAGGTACTTTCTCCAATGTGCGCGTTATTAGTGTATTGTTCCAGTCACAGGATTCTTCCAGTGACGGTATTGTGCGTTTTTATTCTTTATTTGATTCTGTAAACATTTGAGATTACTATAAAGGAAACTCACTTCTCCGGACAAGCCACCTAATACAAAGTGGAAGGAGGGAGGATGAAGGACGTGAATGTGACTTTGTAAATGGTCTTGTGGACTTGTCAGTAAATGGGTCTGTGAAAGACGAGGTGAACCATAGAATTTATGGAGGGATTTCAACAGTATTTTGTTCCTTGATTGGGTCGTACCATGTTGAAGATCTATATGTAGGAATCGTGGGGATGGGTAAGGAAAAGGTAATCTTTACCTGGAGAGGATTTCGGGGGTTAACGCCCCCGCGGCTCGGTCTGAGACTAGGCCTCGTGGTGTATCAGGGTCTGATCAACCAGGCTGTTACTGCTGGCCGCACGTAAACCGAAGTACGAATCACAGCCTTGCTGATCAGGTACTGACTTTAGGTATCTGTCCAGCATGAGAGTATAGTGGTACCAACGCTCTTATTGGGGTGTGAAGCCTATTTTGTGAATGAGGCGTCGACACTATGCCCAGCCCTTCTAGGGCAAGGTAGGTGCCTGAACCAGAGTTTGCGGCTCACAAGACTGCTATTCCCAATAGCTCCCCTGGGGAGGGAATGGCAAACCAGAGAGGCATAGCTTCTCTCTACAAGCCCTGTGAGGACGGAGAATATGGCTAGGCCTGGGGACAGTTGGTTCCAACGATGAGGAGGTACTTGTACCTCCTCCCATGGCAGACATAGGTCTGAGATACTCCCGAGACAGGGGAGCCAAGGCCGGGCCACCACTTGGAAAAGGCCCGGGCCGGGAGAGCACCGGCGAATCAAGAAGAAGAATGAGGCTGGAGGCAGTGGAGATGTCGTATCTGAGGGTGATGTGTGGTGTGAATATTAAACAGAGAATTAGTACTTTGGGAGACTAGAAAGTGTGGAATTACAAAATGTATTATCCAGAGGATTGAAGAGGGGTTGTTGAGGCGGAGTGAACATTGGAAGAGGATGGAGCAAAATAGGATGACTTTGAGGGTTTATAAATCTGTAAGTAAGTAAGTAAGTAAGTAAGTAAGTAAGTAAGTTTATTCAGGTATACACAAATACAGTTACATAGAATTATCATACATAGCAGCATATGTGTAGAGAACCTAGGATAACCCAAAAAAGTCAGACAGAGTGACTTATTTCCATTGGGTGTTGGTCACCCTAGTGAAGGTCGCTGGGAGGGGATAAAGAAGGTCTTGTGTATGAGAGGCTTGGACATCCAGTAGGCGTATGTGAATGTGTTAGACAGATGTCTAACACATTCAGGTGCCTACTTCCTACTTGGTGAAAAGCGACAACAAGTGTAGAAAACTCCACGCATTTGCTACACATTCCTCAAGACTGATGGACTGACCACATCGACTCCAGGCTGAGGGACTGATTACCTCAAACTCCTCCTCTTCCATATTCTTCTTCCTATTGGACTGAAGAAGCCACTGGCTGGGCGAAATTTGTCTCTAATAAAAAATCCCAAATATTGTACAAGTGTTTCATTCTTTAACTTGTAACAAAATGTGGCTATCCCAGGATCAAACCCGGGTTCTTCAGTTATGAGCTGATAATTCTCCGACTAAGCCTCAAGTCACTGGGAAATGTTACATTTTCTCACTGTTTTGTGTTTTGTGGATTTTCAAACTGTATTTTTTTTTAAATATACATTTTGATTTACACTTTTTTTTAAATTAATGCCAACATTATTATGTATGCAAGTAAATAAGTCAGTAAATAAGTAAGTCAGTAAGTTTTTATTCAGGTTTAATACACAAATTTAATTATTTATGATTGCCTAAGAAAATAATTAACCTGTACATTACCTGTACAATAACAGGATAAACCAGTATAATGACTGCAGAAAATACGTGATTGCAATTGGCCTACTCATGGACAATTATGAAAAATTAACATATAAAACCAACCAAAAATTTCAACATGACCCGTTACCACTGATGCAACACATAATAAACTTTAAATTTGGCTTCTGACATCATTTGAAACATTTACGTGCGTTTTATAGTTAGTAAACTCTTTTACGAAGTTCCTCTGTATAGGTCATGTTTTTGTTAAAGTTCCTCCGTATTAGTGTTACGTTTTTGTTAAAGTTCCTCCGTATTAGTGTTACGTTTTTGTTAAAGTTCCTCCGTATTAGTGTTACGTTTTTGTTAAAGTTCCTCCGTATTAGTGTTACGTTTTTGTTAAAGTTCCTCCGTATTAGTGTTACGTTTTTGTTAAAGTTCCTCCGTATTAGTGTTACGTTTTTGTTAAAGTTCCTCCGTATTAGTGTTACGTTTTTGTTAAAGTTCCTCCGTATTAGTGTTACGTTTTTGTTAAAGTTCCTTTATATAGTGAGATATTTTTACAGAAGATCCTCTATGGAATTTGTTATCTTTTCGGTATACACGATTAAAAAGTTTCCCGGAGTGTAATATCAATTATTATGAAAATTTTCCTATCTTTATACAATTTTGAAACTACTTTTTCAATGGCATTTACAAAAATACCGCAAAATGCATAACGAAGAAATTAGCGCAGGATAATCTGGTGAAGATCGACTGTGAGGACTGTCATGGCGGCTGTTGGAGAGGGAGGGAGGGGTCAGTAAGGTAATCCATCCTGTAGGATGGTTATCTGATGGTTATAATAATAACCATAATTTTTAAAGGGGTGGAGAGGTAAGCCAGTGGAAGGCCTCGGTCAGATGACCAAAACCTCCAGCTACGGGTCATCATATGACTAAGACAAGCGTCAG